ACAAAAACGCAAAGAATCAATGGATAATCATCTAGCAGCTATACTATATGTACAAATTGTGTGTTATATTATACTTATGACACCTCAAATGGGAAATGTAATTTTGAATGCCATAGTAAGCACTGTTCCGAATAGAAGTGTCAATGCCCTTGCTATCGAACGAATGATTGCTTTTGTTGCTGAATTAATGATGTACGTGTTTCCTGTGTTCTCTTTTTATTTGTATACATTATCATCGGTTACCTTTCGGTCAGAATTATGGAACATTATGTGTTCGATAGCATCAATTTTCCATTCACAGAGGCAAAACAGAAAAACTAATCCAGTAATACAATCAGCCCATATCATTTCGGCAAATAAAGATCTTCATTCGCGAATAGAACCACGTCAAATTTTGACTAAAGAACCAGTAGGCAAGATTGCTGTAATATCCATGAATTGACCTGCCAACATGGATCGATGCAAGAAAGTCAAATGAAAAATGACCAAAACTTCTCGTTTACATAATTAAATATTGTTTGTACTGTAGTCTATGTGGGTGTTTTAGTTATGAGGGGAAAACAACAGACCTCAAGACTTCAAGGACAAAGGCTTCAAAAGATTTCGGTAGATTTGTCAGGTTCATGAGACTACAAGACGAGAACCGCTGTTGTTTCTCCCTCGCTTTATTGCATTTGAGTTTTTCAATCGTGTATTTCAATGCTTCTTGTGCTTGTTTAAATAATAAAAGAAAAATAAAACAGTACTCAATAAAACAAACATTTTTGCAATATATAGCTTAAAATCTACAGTTTTATAATTTTGATTTTCATTGGTTTGATTATTCATTGAACTACAAGCTCTTTTTATACTTGAAACAACGATGCGATCAATCATTATGAAATTTCATTCTTTTTCTAAAAGTTAAACATCAAACAGGAATAAAATTCAAAGTATCCAAAATCAACCGAATACTCGTCATCAGTGTCAAATGGATTTGGGTGTGTGATGAAATGTGAATATGAGATGCGGGTGCGTGTGAATGCGCGTAGTTATGCTTGACCATTCATCCACTCCATACTTTCTCGCTGATCTCTTTGAGTACGGGAATGTAGGTTTCATATATTTAGATTTAAAGAAAAGACCAAAAACAAGAAAATATAAACAAAAATATTATTTTTCACCATACAGAAAAATAAAAGAAATCATATTCTCTAAAAATGTTCAATTCAGAATCCGTGCCATTTTCGAAGGCTATGGGTGTGGAATGGGATAAAAAGAAGACATATTGACTAATGTCTATATACCCACACCCTACTTGTTCTTTGAACTTCATTTGAGACTGAAGTACTTAATTGTTAAGATAAAATAATATTTATTTGATGTTCATAGAGAATTAGTAAAACAAAATATTCTCTTCTATACAACCAAAACCCTAACTTATTAACTAATAAATACATATCGACAGATATTTGTTTTAGCTTCACTATTTTAATTTGAAAGCTGGTTAAGGATGAAGTTAATAATGTTTTTCCTTGTTTTTTTGATATGTATAATAATTGTGCGATGTCAAAAGAATGTTTGAAAAAAGTATTGCTCATAGCTGCTGATGTGAATGTACAGAATTACAATGAATTGGCGTAGGAGTTTTATTCTTGATAAAAACTAGAAAAATTCTAATACCAAATGACTATTATCATTCGTTGCTATTATTTTGACTTCATTTAATTACTATTTGCTTAATATTGACTTTGAGAATAAGTATATCTTCTTTTTATTCCATGATCATTACATATAGATTTTATCAGTTATCGAAACTTTAATAACTCTCCTGTTCTGAACAGTCTACAAAGAATTTTAGACTGACTGAACCGGACCGATTTTAGTATTTCTTGACCGATTACAACTATGGTTCTAACCACAATGGAAAAAACTTTTTCTAATTTCGTTATCTTTATTGCAGTTAACCATCCATGAGACAAAATTCAGCATTTCTTCTTGCTGATTTTTACTTCGATAGCTACGCTGTTTAACAAGTGAAAGGATTGAGTTGAAGACATGAAAAAAATTATTGAATCAATCAGTCACACAATAAGAAACACTTGAGTTGCAATTTCGATATTTGTATTGAGGATAAGCATTGATCAAAGAGAATTCAGTTTTTCTTTCGTTAATACATTCTCTTCTTTGCTGAATTTTATCCTAGTAATTGCGCTCTCTAGGTAATAAAACGAATCGATAAAAGTGGCAAAAAAATAACGACGAGAGAGGGAGAGAGAAATCCATAGGTCACAATTAATTTTCGTTGCCAATTTTCTTTTTGCTTTTTGTAAGAAGGCATTGGCGGTTGACAATCCTTGTTTCGTTTATTCTGACATTCTTTACTTTTTCGTTCTTTGCTCCAGTCATCATCTTGTTTGCCAGTTATAGGAATTCAGCTGAAGAGATGAAAAGAAATCACATAAAAAGGAAGCAACGACACAGAACAGCTTTCATTCTCAATTTCGTTGTTTGTTCTGAAAGTAGGTAATAACGGCAGCAATGCTCTACTTTTTTCATTCATTACTTTATTCGCTCTCTGTTTAGTGCTTTTGCACATCGTTGCTGTTTGCGATGGGTTCTTGCCTTACATTACTTACTTTTGCTGAAATGAAACTTTCGTGATAGATAGTTGATATGTGTACTATCCCTGTGACTCAAAAGTTCAAACATTGTATTTGTATTCAACAAATATTCACAAAATAGTCAACCTAACTTTATCGTAGAAAAGAAATAGTACGAAAAACTTTCATATTGTTTTAGATAGCTATGTCGGGAAAATTTTATCATGGCGATCCTGATCGCGACCATAACTTTTGGGTTTATCCACGAAATAAAGCATTGGTAACTCCTCGTTGGGATACGTATAATGCGGATGATTTGTGTGATAATTATACGTTCATTGGTCAAGATGGATGAGGTGGACTGAAAACATATAGATGTAATGGTCATAGCAAGTAAGTGATAGCCATAGTCAAAACAGAATTTGCTCTACAATACAATTTGAATAAATCTTTTACTTGCAGTGGATCAAACAGTGGTGGTAGCCAAGTCCAATATGTTTCACGAGGTGGCTGACAGTAGGCTCTGGACGATTCGTCCTACTCCATCTTCCAAAACCAAGTGACATCATTAATTTTTCCCCTTCTTTTGTCTAATATGTGATACTGCTGTTTCGCATACGTGTTTTTGGTACACTGCTATGTGTGTCTTCCGATGTTGATTCTTGTGTAGATGGCAAACAGAATCATGATAGTTAAAATCGAAAGTTGTTTTTTTCAACTGATTTTTACTTGAGAATAATTTTATTGTTTCACTTCTTCACATATATTCCTCTCGGCTTAAACCTATGCTTATTGGTATGACATATGGAGCTTACTAACAAATATTTTTTATAAATTTTCACTACTTGTGATTGAATTTAAAAAGAATGAAAAGACGGATAAACTGAAGTTGAAAGGACACAAAGAAAATTTGGCAGACATTCTCTCATGTTGCGAATATGGTTGATTTGAACTTGAGAAAATTGAATCTAGTTGAATGGGGAAGTATCACTGATTTCATTCTTCCTCAAGGGTCTCTTTCCTCGCTTGAATCTGTGCAGTGTACTTTAATTAAGAAAAATTTTATTTTCAACGTGTGATAAAAGGTAAAGAACGATGCTGGAACATATTTAAACATAGCTTCAATAATTTTCATCAGGGGGCTCCATTTTGCTTTCATTTGCGCAGCAAGAATTCAATAAACAGTGGAGAATAGCGCACTGTGTTGACTGTCAGCAGTGGTTTTTTTTCAACTTCTAAGAAAAAATAGCACAGAGTTAATACTCAGATGAAGTGACGCTAAATCAACAAATGTTAATAACGATGAAAATGCCGTAAAGAGAAATGGTTTAACTAAGTCTGATTCACATTGTTCAAAAGACAGACAAAACACTTTTGATATGAAAATTATCGAAGTGTGTTCTGCCAATAATTCCATTTTCGATGTGATGGAGACCACATAACTATTTCAACAATGAGTTTTTGAAGCCAATTTCATAAAAAGAAAAGATTTTTTCCAAAGTGATTTTTAACGCTGGCACGAGATGTTTTGAACATTCTTGTCATTGTTTAGGAACGTAAAAACCCAAAAAATCGAGAACTTTGACCTTCGTATCTATCGATGAGAGCTCAATCAGTAAATCAACACTTGTAGCTAAAGTCTGACTTGCTGCAATACAAGCAAAATTATCCACCACTCAAAATGGAATAAGTAAGAATCACTGTGTTTGATTAATATTGCTGCTCATCTCGAGAAGGAAACGTAGCTCATTCAGTCTATTCTTTTCGACAACTTTTCGAAGATCAACGATTCTCAGGTAATCCTCAATGTGTAGGGTGTGGGTGTGGACGTGGGTATGTTATGAGTCAAAAGGTGATCAAGACCCATACCCACGCTTTTATCATATTTGTTTTGAACTATATTTTATTTTGTAGCTTCGATGGTGTTCGCAGAACATGTCCCAATACTAATTCAGCACTGGTATCAATTATTGTTAATACTATCACCAATTAATACTAAAGATCAATCAATAATCATCGTGTTGATATTGCAACATGCTTCGTCTTCATGAAATTCGATAAGCGGTTGACTGCTTCTCTCATACAAAATATAAGTTGTTGTTGCAATAGTTTTTCCTAGTCTGTTAAATATTTGACGACCTTTGATCATTGTGCATCATATTTTTTACTAGATTCAAAGGTAATTCAGGACGATGCTCATTTCCGTAATTTTCAAAGATACTAAAATAAAATATGCTAACGTAAGATTTAAAAGATTTTGGTTATGTTTGTATTATGAACTTCTTAAGAAGAATTATATATTTCATTCGAGTTTTTAAAGAGTAGAATGATAAATAAAAGAGTCTTTAGTTAATTTTCTTCCTGTTCGGTAAATGAATGATCTTCTTCAAGTTTCTTTTCAATGCCTGATTCTTTTGTTCATATACATCGTGGTATTAATTTAATTGTCTATAAAAAAGAATAAATCAGTTGGACCGTTATTTAATTCTCATCAAAAAAAACTTTACCAATCGTACTTGATTTCGTTTATCATTTGATTGTAGTTGTCTTAAAATATTAGCATGAGAGTGATTTTCTATTCTATCTTCTTCTTCGTTTATACTCAATTGTTGTTTTATTTCACTATTGTAATTATCATTTTTATTGTTATGCTGTTGTTGACTACTTCCACTATAGGCACTGCTAATAGTAGTTTCACGATTTAAATGTTCTTGTTCATGAATTTCATCAATTGTTGTCGGTTTAGTTTCAGAACGACAAGTGCCCCATGCAGTCTAATTTATAGAGTTTTTATTTTAGAAAAAAAAATTTATTTGAAACATCATCATTGGCAAGGTAAATCTATTGACATTAGAGAAAATCTCTGCACCTTATCTTGAAGTATAACTTTTCTTTTTAAGGAGTTTGTATCTTAGATTACTTTCAAAATCAATTGAATATATCAGACTAATTATTATCTTCTATTCTGAAATGTAAGTACACTTCTCAAGGAAAACTTCTTCTAAATATACTACAAAATTCTCTTGTATACGGAAAAGATTTCAATAGATGTTTTCACTTTCATTCTGGCTTCTTCTGTTGAGTTCTTCATGATACAAAAATACAACATTTAGGTTTTCTCAACAGTTAGATATTTATTCTTCTACTTACTTTTCTTAATTCTAGAAGATTCTGAATCATAAAACGAATACGTGCTGATATTTTTTCTTCTTTGACAATAGTATTTAATTCACAATAAAGTTTTTCCAATTTGGACTTCTTTGTATGCTAAAACAAAATTTCAAATTTAACAGTTGAATCTACAAAAGTGAACATACTTTTTTCTTAGCTTTAGCATCAAGTTTGTCACCAATAGCACGTAAAAGATCACATAAACATTCAAGACTTACTTCATCAGTTTTATCACGAAGTAAATATTCAATACAATCATATATAATAGTATCAGTTAACATTTGTACTTGAAATAGCTCACCAATAAAACTAAAATAATCAAAAGATTTTACTTTTGTTTTTGTATCATATAGAATTTTACATCCATATGCGACAGAATTTCCTTCATAATAAATCAGATTTTAATGACAAGAAAAGCAAACGTTGATTCTAATAAGAATGCATAAGAAGAATTTTCATATATCAAAGAATAAATATTGTAGGTTTTCTTTATTGATGATAGCTTTTAGTGAATTGAAGAAAAAACAAATTGAAATTAATCTTTTAATAAATCTTATGAGATTGAAAGCTATACGTATCGGATATCATCATATGATTGCGAAAATATCTCAATTATATTAAATCGAGAAATGTCATAATAGTTCCAAATCCCGAAAAATCATATTTTTCTTGTCCCACAGGACACTCAGGACACGTTAAATTTATTTTTTCTGCTGGATTCTGATCAAAATTGTTTAATCGAATCGTAACCAGAATATTCTCGAAGCTTAAGCACAAAATCATAAATTCTTGCAAAAAAAAGCGATCTATAAGACAGTAAAAATTTGAACTAACAGAATCATTTATGAACGACAATCACATTCGAAAACCAAATCAGCCATCGATCATAACATGACTAGAATTATACAGTGAGTAAAAGACAAATTTTTAAAGGGTCTGGGACTAAGAGAACAAAACATTCGAACCGTAATAAAAAAAATAAGAGTTAAATTTTCTATGATTTCTAGTGAACTATCTTATATTATCATATAACAATCAAAGAAAAATTCAGGCAAGATAATAACAAGCATGACATTCGTCAGCTGACTTGATCTCAAATGAATAAGTTCTTCAAAACTTTGATCTCTCATATCTTAAAGCGGATTCTAACAGTCTAATCTATTTATCGTTATCATCATATAAACCTTTTCCGCTCTATTTTATTGTCGTTTTTACTATTAATTTGTAGTTCATAAAAATACCTACACAATATTGCCTAATTTTCTTCTTTTAGCTTTAATAAGATCTTCTAATTTTTCAGCTTCTTCTTGATGTTTTTTCTCATCTGTTATCGCTTCAAGTTCGAGTTTTCTTTTTTCATATTCGATTTCTTGTATATCATCAGTATTGAATTCTTTTCGACAACATATTATTAATAATTGACGAAATCTATATTTTTCTGATCTGCCATCTTGATCTATTACGTCAACGTGTTTCTAGAAGACAAATTCAAAAAATTTAAATCGATAATAGAAAATATACTTTTCGAAATTGTCTACATAATTTTGCGTATAGAAAACCATATTGTGGTTCATCAACAGCCTAATACACGAAACATATTTAGTGTAATTAATAAACACTAAGAAGAAAATTTACTTTAGAATGCAATATCATAACCATTCCTTGTAGTTTTTCATAAGAATCAATTTCTAAAGTTGCAAGTTGGTTTTGTAATTGATCATATGTTTGTGGTGTTAATTTATTTAATATGGATCTAACATCACATAAAAATCTATTATCAGCATCAATTTTATGTTGGTCGACTGGAATGTAAGTATTTTTAACTTGATTACTAAAATCAGGTTCAGTTGATACATGAATTTCTATTTTATGACTTGAACCGCTTGTTAGACTTGGATTATTTTGATCATGTGTTAATGATTTCCGATTAGTACGTAATGATTTTTGACGACATGCACGATTCTTGCGTCGTTGACTGGTTGTATCAGTATATGAATGACTTGTATTATCATTACTATTATTTTTGTCACATTGATTAACAACAATATCAAGACCAACAAGACGTTGTGGAACCGGAAATGGGGCTGAACTATCACGAATACGTAAAAGTTCTTGACGATCATAATGGAAACGTTTTTTTTGGGGATACCAAAGATTTTTCATCATTGATTATTAGTGTTTGTTGTGATTTCAGCAAATTCTTACTACTTTCTTCATTCACGGAAGATATTTGATTATCAGACTAAATAATCATAAAGAAAAGAAAAACAATTTCGATAATCAATTCGATGTTGTCTTCTATAATGCTTAGCCTCTGTTACGATGTTTTTTTTTCTAAACTAATATATTGGTTATGCATAAATTTACTAAAGAAAATGAACAATCAAGTATCATCATTTTCTATGCCATGTTATGATTGTAAACAAAAATCTTAGAAGTATGAATGTAAGTTGATGCACTTAGAACTTCTTTGTACTCTACATCAGCATTATCATGACTTTTATTAGCTGACTATTGAAATTGAATTTAAATCGAAAAGATTTGGTTATATGTCAAACATCAATGGTGTATTGTATGATTGGAAAAACAAATATTTCAAATAAAAATTTCGAAGAATATTTAATATATTCATTTTTATACCTTATTTATTTGAATATTGGAAGAATTAGCAAGTATGTCAGCAGATTGTTGTGGAACTTTAGCTTGTTTTTTTGTTTTATTTGTTGATTTAACTGTATTTGTCGTAGTTGATTCAATAGGTCGATTTTCACTCATTATTATTGTTGAAGATCCCGCTGATATCGTCGTAGCCGAAGTTATGGATTGTGTAGAAACTTCTACGGGTTTATGTAGTACTGAATCAACAGGAAATAATGATTTTTTCTTTCGTCTTTTCTTTCTTCTAGATGATATTATTGGTGCACAGAAATTCGATTGTTGAATATGTTGTGCTATTGTAGGCTGATATGCTGCTACAGTTGATTCATCGATCTATAAAAAAAGAAATTTCACTTTGATTTATTTGGTTTATATAAGAGAATATGTATACTTTTGTATCTTGTATTCGATGAATTTGTATTTGTTCTGTTAAATCAGAGAGTGTATCTGGTGGCTTCTGTAGTGTTTTTGGTTGATTGGGAATTGTTGACGGTACTGGAGACGTTGGATAAGCTGATAAAAACAAAAAAACAACAAGAAATTTATTTATTTTATAAATAAGAAAAAATTTACTTGGAAACAATGGTTGTGAATAACCAGTTGATACTGATGGAAGACTATTATTTCTCGGTGCATACATTAAAGAATATTCATTTTGTGAGATCAAATGTGAATAATTTACATTTGCATGTGATGGTTGTAGTAAAGAAACCGTTGAAGAATTCTGTTAAGAAAGAATATTTGACATAATATCTATCAAAGTTTTCTTGTTAGACTAACCATTGGTCGTAGATTATTGGCAGATATAAATAATGTTGGAGGAACATGAAATCGTTGAGGATAATCTTCAGGCATTTGTTGATTGATATACTAAATAGATATGTAAAGTTTATTTAAAATTAAAAGAAATTTTATATTTACTGGTTGATGATTCATTCGTAATTCATATGGTGCTTGATTCCATACTTGTACAGGGGATGCTAAAAAGAAATATAATTTCAATAATAATTTTGATAAGTTAATCTTACGTTGTTCTATACGATTATTTGATATATAAAATCCTGATATCTGTGGATGTGATGCTGCTGAATTCGAATAAAATGATGCTTGCCCATGGTGTAAATTTCTGCGAAAAAAACGCGTTCTGAAAACGCATTTTTCCATAGCTGCGAAACGCGTTAATGCTGACCGGTTTGACGCGTTTCACATCTGCTAAAACAAACGCTGTGTAACGATTGTTTTTGTGAAAAATTTCGCAGCGTTTCTGAAACTGTGGTGTCGTAAATTCTAGATGGAAAAAAAATTGAAAATCGTCAATGACTTCATAGATCTTGAATTGCAGGTACAATTTATGTATTCGTTTACATTTTTTCATAGCCTTTAGAACTATAACTTACATGAATGTTGATGCAGCCAAGACACGGATTCGAACACGAGAACATAGGAGTATAAGACATGTATACAAACCGTTCAACTAAAATAATCTAATGATATAAGTGTTTATTCTACTGTCATTTAGAGTCCCGCGTAAACTTACTAAATTAGATTTTCAGTTTCCATTCCACTGAATTAAAAATTATCATTTCTTTGGTGCCTATGTCCAATTACGAGTGTGGTCTTTTCTTGATACATTTTTTATTTAAACTCTTTCAGATTTAAATTTAGACACACAATAGAAACGAATTTAATCGATTTACACTGTATTTAATATATAAAAAATTAAATTTCTTATATATAAACTTTAAAAAATTTAAAATTTAATCTTTTATTTATTTTCTTGATTAGTAGATTTTTGTAAATGTAAATCCGTCATCATTTTATCCAATTACATCAATAAATGAAAAGAGTTTTCTTTTGTCAATCGAATCGCTTTTATTAAAAAGTCACTCTTACTTCAACAATGTACAAACAAAAATCATGTTTACTAGTATTGTACACAGTATCATTAGTTATTATCAATTAGTTCGAGTATGAACTCAAACTAATAATTATTCAAATTATAGATAACGCGATAATTCTTTTGTTCACAAATAACCAAAGAGAGTTGCTATACTAATTATATTAGTATCAGTCTTTACTAAATCTTTTCGAAATGCTCAATATTTAAAACGACCTGTCCACGTAAAACGTGATTCAGTCACGCTTTATTTGTTTTATTTCAAACAAATGACTCGATCTCTAGAATTCAATGCATTTGCAATCTTAGACAAAAAATTGTGCTTGTCAAAATGAGACACCGCAAATTTGTCTGTAACTTCTCATTCATTACAAACTAGCGTGGCGGAATCATCTCCCTCCGTGGACAAGTCGGAAACAATTCTTAAGTAAACCTTACGAAACACGTTTTCTTTCAATAAAAACGTGGTGAAATGAGTTTTTAAGTAAGAAAAATATTTTTTTGTTACACTTTGATGTTTTACATTAGTCTCACGTCGAATTAGGTCTAGATAACAGCCTAGCAGCCTAAAAATTTCCAAGACTTTGATTTTAGTCTTGCCTTCATAAAATCCTGGGTCATGATTTTCACGTACAAAAATAGTGCAAGGAGCAAAACTTTCAAGTGCTATTTCATATCATTTCCAAAGTAATTTTAAAGAATTTACTTTGCTTAACTCCTATGCTTTGTGTTGGTGAATTTCTGCAAGATTCTGTATGCAGAATGGATATATTTTGCATCATTCCAAGCAAAAACAATGCAACACACATTTGAAAAAGAAACGCGTTTTACGTTTCCCCCAATTTGTATCTGTGGAACGCGTCGCCTGTCGACCAAAGTGCGCTCAACAGCATTTTAATTCGGAAACGCCTCGAAACGCAATCTTGAAAAAAGCGTTTCGGATCGTTTCAAAAAACGACTATGGCAAAACGCATTTTATGTAAGTAAGAATGCTGCGAAACGCGTCCTATATTGCAAAAACGTTGCGAAACGCATGCTACAATCTTGGAAACGCGTTACGCAGTCCGTTTCCTTCAATTTTTTACTCCATGGGTGATCTGTATTATTCATTGTGGAATGTGAATGTGGCTGGTTTATGGATTTTTTTGAATGTGAATCTAGAAAAAAGAAATTTTAGTTCATATGTTGCATATATTAGAAAAAAATGCTTGTATTGTAGTAATTTGAAGTGTAATTACATTATCTGGCATCTTTTTTTTATATCTTGAAAGCTTTTGTTTATAAACTCAACTTTTTCTCTCACGAAAAATTTCGTGATCAATTAGCAATGAATATTTATCATAACAATCTTAATCTAATATTCTTTATCGTCTTCATTCAATCTTAAATCAATTTTTATTGTAAATGATAATTTGGGCACTCTATTTCAGGAAAATGTTTCACGAATTGTTTTTGATTTCAATAGCAACTAACAGATTTTCGATACTAATTACATAGTTACTGTGTATCATAGATCTATATTAGCAGCATAGACTGTACAAGGTTTAGGAGTAGGATAGATTTCATTAGATTTATAGGTGAATGTAACAGTTATTTTCAATTTTAAATTCTTTTTCGTCTTTTGTATTATCCAAATTCTTAACTGTTGTATTTCTGAGTCGATTTCCATCATCTTCTATATGGATACGCAAATAGAAAAATAATTATCAGATGCGAGAAAACATATTTCACGTATGAACTATTGCGATAAAATGGATAGTTTCAAGTTCAATAAGGAGTATTGAACAACTGAAAGTTTCTGTTGAAGTAAATAGTAATTTATCATAGAAACTCCTGTGATCAAGAATGTAAGTCATCTTCGTAATTAAAATTGATTTGCTCTCCAACAGTTTCAAACTGAAATAGAATTACAATGGTAAAAATTTTGTTCAAAGATGTATATTCAAGCTATCTGAATGAATATTCTTTTTCAATTTTTTATTAGTTTCAAATCCAACTAAATGATATTTTTCTATTCTCTTCTCGATGCTAAATTGGAATCGAATATTTTCAAGTTGTTTCAGAACTAACATTGAGAGAAAATTGGCATTTACAAAGAATGACTCATTTTTCGGTTTATGTGCTGAGTTTTCTACGTAATTTAACACTTTAATTAAAATAAAAACGATACATTTGTAAATATTTTATCAGGTTTTATTCAGTTTTATATATAAGTAAATAATAAAAACAATCTCTTTGAATATTGCATATCCTATACGTTCCTTTAAATACGATTAATGCATAAATCAAAAAAAAATATAATTTCCTCGTGTAAAATGATAAAAACAATTCAAAACTATCTTTAACAATGTAAACTTTGTTTTTTTTATCTTCATAGGGATGCGAGTATGAGTAGATGCAAATAGGTATGGGCGAAGATCTTTTTTGGCGACTCAGGTTGAACTGTAGGTTTAAGATGAATTATGTATGTTGGTGTACTTGTTGTCATCTAAGTTCACATTATGCCAGAAAAACAGCAACAAAAAGTCGAATAAACACATGTAATTAATACTATAATTATTCAATTACAGCATTTGACCTCCTCAACAGTTTGTCTTTAAACGTAACAAAAAGATATGAAAAATGAACGGTAAGAACATGATCTAAAAGTTCGTAAACTATCATGTTCACATAATTTTGGCTTGTTTTTTATTTTTCTTTTTTCAGTAATAAACATTTGATTCGAATTTAGTTGGTTAGCTTGTTAATTTTAAGAACGAGAAAACGTGCAGAAGTCTCTACGTCAGTTTCCAACACTTTTAGTTTTAATCATAGTTAAAATAATCTTCGAAGCAAATAATATTGACCAAATTTCGTTTATCCATAACAGTATATTTAGCCGATTATAGGTAACTATTCACGTCTATTAGTATATTAGTTTTTCTTGATAAACATCATAGCATGGGTGTCTATTAACCTCAAGGTTATGGGTCATCTTGCTAAACATTTTCTCATGTGATCACTGCATTCTAACTATTTATTTATCATTCAATACAAAGAGTCGTCAACATCCACATTCGAACTCGTCTGCTTATTATTTTTATAGCTATGTTAGTATTTGACGTACATATAATTAACTTGAGAACAAGTATCAAAACAAAAATAGAACTTTCTATTCTTTCGAGCATATGGAATCGTTTCGCTTGAATAAATACATCAGTAAACAAGATTATGAAGTCTGTGAATCAAAATCTGATATGGTTAGCATATTCCACATATTTTTATATGATTGATTCTAAACTTATGTGATGGATTTATTAGTGAGAATTCTATGTTCTACAGCAGTTTTTTGGAAGATTAACATTGTGTTCTGTGTATGCTGAGACCTATCATATCGTTTCTTCACTCAAGTTTTCAAAACATTTGATGATAGAAGGAATATTTTTTGAGTAGAAACTCGTAAAACACTAGAGCCAGTATCACACATATATAGACGCTGATAGGTACGCTACTTTGTTTCTCCATGATATTGAGACGCTTGAGAACATCATCGATAGCTGTTTTTAATTTGTCAACGCTGTTAATATTGTATTCGATTGTAATAGAGACTCTTAAGTTTTCTTGGTCGTGCAGAATTTTTTCGGTATTATCAGTCAATGTTTCCTTCGATCGTAATAACTTTTCATGATCATTGGTGACAAGAATATCTTCATTTTGTTTTTCATGTTGGTCGTGCTTCTCTTTTTTGTCGATCAGCTCATTTTGACAGTCTTCAATCGGTTTCTTATTCATTCTATCAATTTCGTCAATCGTTTGTTTTAGCTCGTTCTCGTATTGATCGACAATTGCACGTATAGACATGAATGCTTCTGTGATTCTGCCTTTGTTAACATTTTCATTCGAATTGATCATTTGTCGTACATTTTTTAAAGCTTCTTTCAAAGATAATTGCACGCTTTCAAGATCATGTTTCAGCTAAATTCAATGAAAAGCTTTTTAATGAAACAAAACATACACAGTATCGAATACTGACCTCTTTCTCTACTTGTTCTATAATGTCGTTAATGGCTACAAAGTTGTGGTCATAGTGTTTAGACAATTGATAGACACAGCAGATCACTTTTTTGCAGTTGTAACACCAATACTTCAGGTTTTCATCCGGATGTATATCGCGTCGCATGGGTTCTAAAGGTTTTAGCTTAATAGACACTCTTTCCTGTGTGGTAATAGCTATGCATTTAAAAAATAATAGTACATTGACTCATCTCAAATGTGGTAAAAAAGAATC